CCATCCAACCATCATCCATCCAACCATCATCCATCCATCCATACATCATCCATGGCTTCTGTCCTGCTGTCTGTTTACTTCTCCTCCCTGTTCAGTTTATCCTCATTATTTCTATAGGTAACCGTTGGTCCGAGGATGAAGGTGAATTTCCTGCATTCAGGACCAGGATGATGAACTGAAACGACTCTAAAAAGGATGATTTACCGACTGAAGAGAGACTTTTTACTGAGCGGAAACTTTCTAGATGAATCTAAGTGTTTATGATATTTATATCCGGGGGGGGATTGTAATTCTGAGTTAACCGCTGTTTGTTTCTCTCCTCTTAATAAGCCCTGCTTTCTAAAAACTTTTCAGATTTCTGTAACTGAATGTTTCTATCATCTGGAGTTTGTATATTTCTACCAGCAGACGTTTTATCTAATCTTTTTTTATAATCCTGGTTTTTTGAACAGATGTATGTTTTCCTTTGCTAATCATTGAATTTATTCTTAAGTGACTTTAATATGACACTATAACTTAATTCATATCCGTGACTCTTTTTTTTTAGCGTATGACCTGTGGGTTTGTGTAAATGGAGCTCTTAGTTTAACAGATGTGTGAAGATCAGATTAATTGCTGGAGTTTCGTAAATTCAGTCGTCCGTCGCCTCGAAGCGAACTGCCGGTCATCCAGGTGATGAGGACGACGGAAATCATGTGAAACAGAGATTTTCTGCTTTCCTTCTTTATTTTCATATCTAATACCAAAACATGTTAATCCTCCAGAGTTAAGCCATAAAACGGTAGCAGGAAAACGTACCTGAAGGCTGCTTTCAGTGAAATCAGACCTCCAGGTTTTCTTCTGGCCGCATGAGGAGGCTCCCTCACTGCCTTCCCCTTTAAGAGAAACCCCCCCACCACCACCACCTCTGGAGACGCCCACGGACGACCCGGCTCCTTCAGGGGGGAGTCTGAAGTGCTGCGTCTCCTTCTATGGACCAAGTTCACCGAGGCCTCAGCTGATCCCCGCTGCCATCACCACACATCCTCCCAGGCGGTGCGATCCTCCCATTAACCTTTTTTTTTTTTTTTTCCATCACTTTGTAGATTTTATACCAAGCCTTATTGTTTACCCCCTTTCCTGTCTTTTATTTATTATCATCGATTTATGTTGTCTCGTCAGTTTGACCGTCGGAGCTAAAGCTCCTCTTCCTTCCTCACAAACTCGGGTTCCAAAGTTCGTATTTATTGCGAACAGGAAGGAACCGACGTGTCCTTTTTTTCCGTGTCTCACACAGAAACTGTTTTTTTTTTTTTTTATTTAGTCATTTATGCACAAAGCGAATCATGTTGCTGTTTTTATTCCTGCTTCTGTTGAATCTTCTGATCTTGTAACAATGATGTACAGTCTGAGTACTTATAAACTATTTTTATCACAGTATTATTTATTGCTTACTTTCAATAAAATACTGAAACTTATTTTCCACTGCAGATCAGTCGACTAGAGTTTTTTTTTTTTTAAGTTTTATGTTTGTTTTTGTCCTTTTAGAATGAAGCTGCTCCTTCAGCTTCCGAATCTCTATGATGCTTTATTGTTGGAAGCCTTTTTTCCCTCGTTCCCATAATTTACATATTCAGGCTTTCTTTCTTAATTTGAGCCAATGGAAAGCATTAATTTTTAAGATATGCGTATATAAATGTAGGATCAATTTGGAAAGTTTAGTAAACCTAAAAGGAGTTTAGAAGTTTGTGTCTACCTCACTGATAAAAACCTGGGAGCTGTTCGCAGAGGAGGAGGGACTGCACTGGAAAAACGATCTATAAATAAGTAAAATTTTCTTAAATTAAGTGTATTTTACCCTTAATTTGAGTAGGTAAATGAGATACTTTGCCAATGGAATGAGTATTTTTACTCTTAAAATAAGATAATTAGATAAAATACATTTGAAATAAGACAATGCAATTGTGTTTTCTTATTTTAAATGTAAATTGTATTGTTCCTTTGGCAAAATGTGTCTTATACCTCCTCAATCCAAGATCAAATACACTTATTTTAAGAAAAGATGACTAATTTAGATTTCGATTTTTTTTCCAGACTGGGAGGGATGTTGGCCTCCAGTCTGGACCTGCTTTAGTGGAAGGTCCATTTCTAAAGGTCTGTGTTCATGAAAAGAATCACTTGAGTTCTTCATAAATGTTTATTTTTAAATCCTACCTGATATGAGGAGCTAATGAGGTTTATATGAAATACAATGTTTGCAAAAAAAGGCTTGAAATACTAAGATGATTAAATCATTGTGGTCCCTACATCACAGTGGTCCATTTAGCAGAGATGTTAAAGTATTAATGTTTTTACTCCAGTAGAAGAATAAATCCTACTGTTTAAAAACCTTTGAATCAACTAAAGCTTTTTGCTCCAGTAAAAGTACCGTTTTTAAAACTACTAAGTATAAAATTTAAAGTAATGCAGGAAAAAGTGTTAAGGACAAAAGCTTTACTGCACTAAACAATAAAATGAACATTTTTCTGCAATTCTGGATGATATTTTCCTTAAACTTCATAGTTTTATAACTAATGGTAACAGTGTCCAAATTAACTTTGCATCATCTTGAAAAACTTTATTTTGGTAAGTGTTGAACAACAAGTTGGGGCAGCACCGAGTCCAACCACAAAAAGTTGGGAATAGTTAAGGATCCCTCAGGGGCGGATCCAGGGTTTTTAAAATGGGGTGGGCACCTAAGCCCTTAATAAGGGGAATGTTAAGACAAAGCGAAATCGTGTTTCCCAACTGTGGGTATGTGTACCCCTAGTGGTCCATGAGGGTATTGCAAGGGGTACTTGAAAATATTTTCTTAGGTACTAAAATAAAATAGGCTGGTATCTGTTCTGTACGGAAGAGGATTAGGGCCACTGAAAAAAAAAGTTTACTGATTTTATTTCAATTTAGTATTGGATGCAGAATTCTGAGATTAAAGTCAGAATTCTGACTTTTTTCTCAGAATTCTGACTTTGATCTCAGATTTCTGACTTTTTTTCTTGTCAGAATTCAGAGAAAAAAGTCAGAATTCTGACTTTCTTCCCATACTATACTGAAATAAAATTTAAAAAAATCAGTTAACTTTTTTTTTTTCAGTGGCCCTAATCCTCTTCTGTAGTTCTGCTTTGTGAGGACCCAATTAAAAAATGAAACATGCTTTTTTTTTTTTTTGCCAAAAAGTATGTTTTTCAATTCAGTCTGACTAATTTTTGTTCCCAATTCATCAAGTTTAAATGTGTTTTATAAGGGAGTTACTAAGAGTAGCTCCAGTTTTATAAATACAGGTTTATAATATGATTTTAATTTGTATTTATTTTTGATTCCTTACTAACTTCCAGGAAACATATGCTATTTTTTTTATTTGGGATGGAAAGAATACAATGATGAGAAGTGTTGGCCTAGTGGTTAGAGCAGTGCGCTTGTGCTCTGAGAAAGGTTGCAAGTACCTGTTCGATCCCCACAGCCTCCACTCTGGGTCCCTGAATAAGACCCTTAACCCCACACTGCTCCCCGGGCGCCGCACAATGGCAGCCCACTGCTCCCCAAAGAGATGGATTAAATGCAGAGAATGAATTTCTCCAATGTGAGATCAAAAAAGTTATTTTATTAAATTCTCAAAATAAAAGGTTAAGTAAAATAGTTTTTTTATTTTATAATCACTTATTGTACATTCCACTTTGCACGATCAGCAATACTTTAGACTGAACTCATGGTAAGACAAAATTACCAATGGGGAAAACAAATCAAAAAAGGTTGGAGCTAAATGACAAAAAAATCCATTCATCCATCCTACCTTCTTTACTCTTTCACAGAACCCCAAATATTCATCTTAAGGATTTTTTTTTAAATAAATTCATCCATCCTACCTTCTTTACTCTTTCACAGAACCCCAAATATTCATCTTAAGGATTTTTTTTTAAATAAATGTTCATTTTATTGGATGACATTGAACGCAATTAGCTGAAAAAGCATTTTAGAACCAAAATGCCTCGGTTTTAAAAGCCTGCAGAGGCTTAAAAGGTAGTTAGAAGACAAAATTATCCTTAACGATCAAAGCTTTTCTTCATTTCAGGAAATATTTATTTAAAAGATGACATAAAGAAGACTCAAGGATTGAGAACAGTTTGAGATGGTTCCAGTGATGAAGGATTTTTGAATATATTTTAACCAGAAAAATCTTAATCTTAAGAAGAAAAACATTAAATTAAACCAATAAACATGTATAATGAAGTTAAAGGATAAGCCTATAACAGAACAGTAAGGCTTGATAACGAGATGATGATGATGATAATGGCTTCACAAACATCAACCTTCTGTGATGCTTCTGAGCAAATATGTCAAAGATTCTGTTGATGTAAAAATTATGTCTTTGTGGACATAAGTAGCAAAGCCACAAACCTTTCTTGACCCATATTTGACCTTAGCAAAGGTGTGACTGCTTTAACCCCGAGTTAGCGCCTTCCGCACAAGCACTCGTTAGCACTGACAGAACATGAAGAATCATTTGCTAAATTATATTGTTAAATATGTTAACGACAGATCAATAGCTACAAATTGGAGCATATTTCTCATATATTCACAAAAACTAAGACAGTTTGTTTAAATTATTGGATGCAACTTCAACATACCAGGTGCTGCAGCACCTCCTAGTGGCAAAAGTAGATTAAAAAAAAAAATTCACAATTTGTAAATTTCTTCAGAATATTTTGGGTAAGGCTTTTGACTTTTTATTTTTTTACTGTTGCGTGTTTTAATTTAATTATTCTGAGGCCTAATTAACAAGTTCATGGAAAATACGTTGTCATGGTAACATCAAGCAAGCTAGTGGTCACAGTGAAGAGGTGTCCAACTTGCAGCAAAAGACGACTGCTATTTAAATAGTTTCATGACAGAAACGAGGAGGAAATATGGCACAGAAACGCATTTGGGATTTTTTTTTTCTTGGATTTATTTATTTTTTTTTGGAAAACCATCATCAGTGAAAAAGAACACTGGTTGTAGGTGACAACTTAAAAAAAAAAAAAGTACTCAATGCTGCTCTTCTGCTCCGTACCTTCATCACAGAATCGTCTTTACTGAGATCAGACACTTCCAGCAAATATTTAGTCCTAAATTAGTCATAATTGTATTTTAAACACTGCAAAATTCTATTTCAGTCAGCGTTGTATTTTGTCTGTGTTTATATGTACAGTATATCCTAACAGGTCTCTCTTTAAAAGGAGATCTTGCCTCAATAAATCAATCTGTACAGGTTTAATAATAATTACGCAATTTCATTTTATTTGCTGTAAGTCAAAACAAAGAAAATAACTTACTGTGTGTGTAATTAATCTATATCGTATGATGGAGTATTAGGGCCAGGCTAGGGATTTTTTTTGTTTGTTTTAATAAAAGAATAAAGGTGTATTTTATAAAAACTCTTACCAGAAGCTCTGTCTTAAAATTAGGAATTTCAAACATCTTGTGAAGTTTTATACTTTGGCATCGGTTTCACAAATACGGAAATATTTAGTCTTTAAGCATTAAATTATCAGTATCAGAACTTTGAAACGATTGTGAAAATGACTTTTAGCAGGAAGCTTTCTCTCTGAAACCAGTTGTTCTATGGTGACTTTTATTTTTCAACTTTATTCTCATAATTTCATAACTTTATTCTTGTATTTAAAAAAGACGAAAATCTCTAGCCTGGTCCTAATACTCTGTAATAATATCTATGCTTTAACTTTTGAACGTGAAATAAATTTACTTGTCATCAATATAGATATCTGTGTATAAATAAATGTTTTGTATTAGTAGTGTTATTAAGCTTCCTGTTGGTTGTTTGTTTATCGCCTTTTGTTTTGAGGAGTAGTTTATTAAATAACTAAAAACAGACTCCGGGAATGTCAAACCGGAATATACAGATCCTGGTATAATAAAAAACTAAACGATAAAAGTATACTAAAAATTTTAATTATTGTAAAAAAAAAAAACTGTAAATAAAAACAGATTATTAAATAACTAAAAACAGACTCCGGGAATGTCAAACCGGAATATACAGATCCCGCCATGCTAAAAAAAACTAAACTATAAAAATATACTAAAAGTTTTAATAATTGTAAAAAAAAACTATAACTAAAAACAGATTATTAAATAGCTAAAAACAGACTGCGGTTTGACATTCCCGGAGCCCCATAATTCATCCAAACACCATGCAGCTCCTCAACGCCCCGCCCACAGATGACGTCTTAGCTGGATCGGGATATCGGGAGAGCCGGAAGAGCAGCAGACAGAGCGGAGGACCTCCGCAGTTTCTACCAACGGCCAAAGCGGAGCTCATCTACCGGGACGGACGGTCCACCTCAGCCGGCTGGAGTTAACTATTCCTGGGAGAAGGTGAGTGTCCTGAGCGGTAGAACCAGGCTGAGGAGCCGGGCGGGGATCCAGGTGAATCTTCCAGAAGGAAAGCTAACGTTAGCCTGCTGCTAGCTGGCTGGAAAACTGGAACAGGAAATTCCAGAACCGAACTGACCACCAAGCACAGCTGGTTCCGCCTAGATCCGTGTTTTCTGTTCGGTTTGACTCTTTAAGGATGTCTGACATTAATCCTGGAGACTCGAAGGTGAAAAAATGGAGCTGACGTAGACATGCCTGTTGTGATTTAACCGTTAATTGGCTTCTAGATGGCGCTGGAAGCTGATTGGACGCTGCGGGAGGTCGAGTCACACATTTATGACCTGATGAGACTTATCAGAAGGAAACGATTTGGGTTCAAAGGTAAAAAAACCGGAGCAATTTAAGAGAAATGAGTCTGGCGTCACTCCTGGGTGCTGGTAACCCACCTGCTGAAGGTGAGCTGCTGCTGCTGGGCGTGGCTTCCTGTCATGGACCAGCAGCCATGCTGCTTCCTGCTTCCTGGTCCAGCTTCAGCGGATGGGGCTCTGATTAAGGACAGATGCTGACTGTCCTCCAGCTGCTGAGTCAGGAGAAGCTTGGAGGAATGTGGCTGATGGTCCAGAGGGAGGATCAGACATCTCTGGAGGGAAGGATCCATCCATCCATGGGTTCTCCAGACTCTCTGAAGCAAAGCCTGGAGTGATGTCAGGATTTAACAAAAGTTCAGAGTGTTTCCCCAAGAATATTGATCCAACCGCTTTTTATTCAGTGTAGAGAATCAATAATTCTGCATAGCATTTCTGTTTGCAGCATATAACACATGGTGCACTATAATGAAGTCCCCTGTAGCTCAGATTAGGAGTACTGTGGGTCTGGACGATTTCAGAACATGATTTGTTCTAATAAATAAATCTTCATCCTGTTTCGTAATTTATTTGCATTAAAATCTGTCTGTTTTCGTGTAAATTAGAATTATGGCAGCTTGATTTAAAACAGCTGGTTAGTATTTTTGTTGTTCTGGTGCATTTATGATTTTGTCGAATCGAAGCAACTCTCTGGCTCTGAAGTGTCCCTGAGGATGCAGGTGGCCACGCCTCCCTCGTTTGTGATAAAGGAAAGAACTCTTAAGAAATTCAAGCCTGACTCGGCAGGATTAAACCCTCAGAATAAATCCAACCACTCCAAGGTTAAGAGTTTGTTTGGTTGTAGTTGCTTCACTTTTGGTCCTTCTGTGTTTAGGTCTCTTCATTTACAAACAAACACAAACGTTTCGGGATCAATATGAAGGCAGAGAATTTTACAGCCAAGACAGAAAGATTTGGATCAACTTGAAGTTTTTATTGTGGTTTCCAGAAGCTGAGCTCCAAAACGTTGGAGTAGAAAAAAATCTGACTGACGTTACCGTCTGTTTTTCAGCGAGTGACTTTGGCTGATAGAAGATGTGGAAAGCTGCTGCAGGTCAGAATATCAAGGTGGCCGTGGATGACGGAGGAGACGACTGGGAGACCGACCCCGACTTTGAGGTTCCTGGTTCTTTTTCGTCTCCTTCTACTCTTCATTCTCTACAGTTTTGTTTATTTTTTTTTCCCCTGTATGTTTATGGTTTTATTTTTGTAATTTCTTTAGAATGACGTGTCGGAGAAGGAGCAGCGCTGGGGGGCGAAGACGGTGGCCGGATCAGGACATCAGGAGCACATTGAGTGAGGAAGCAGCTCTTTTTTTTCTTTTTCTTCCCCATGCATCATGTCCTAACCGCGTCCCTCCCATCAGCATCCACCGGCTGCGTGAGACCGTGTCCACAGAGCACACCAGCCTGAAGCAGAAGGAGCTGGAGAACATGCCCAAGGCCTCGCACGGTTACGGAGGGAAGTTTGGCGTGCAGCAGGACCGTATGGACAAGGTAGGAGACGGATGAGGCGCTCTTTTATTCCCTGCTGCTTAATATTTCCTGTTTGTTAAAAATTTCGAAGTGTTTTGATGAAACCAGATTAGCTTCCTGGATGAAGCCTCTGAATGTTTCCAGCTGGCAGCCGACCAAACGTCACAGATCCGAACCCTCTGCCTGATTCTGAGTCAAAACAATCATCCAGCAGCATCATTTGTGACTCTGAGCTGCTGGTCGGTTCTGGTACCGTTTCCTGGACCTCCACAGCTTTCTGTCTGTGTTCACCGCTGCATGAATGTGATGAGCGAGCTTTGTTTACATCACTGGGGATTAGTGATGTATCACTAGTTTAGTCTGAGGGGTTGCTTGGTCTCTCTCTGCAGTTCACTTCTCTTTATCCACTTCAGCTACGTGCAGCTAAAGGTTTCAGTCTCCACTCGACCCTTCCTCATTAACTCCTACTGTCCACACCTATTGATCTATTACTGCTATGTACCAAAGAGGGAAACGGGAAATTTTATGGTTCTGATTTTAATTTTATGTTTTTTTATTTACGTCTTTTTAATGTTTTTATGTAGTTTCATTGTACAGAGCTTTGGTCCTTGTAAATTTCTTTATAAATAGCGTTGGATTGGATCCTCATGGGTGAAAGACGCTCTGAAAACATTTTTTCTCACAGAACTGGTCCATGAATCCGCCCAGAACCGTCAGGTTCGGACCTCTGACCCACTGCTGGATAAACTCGGCTGCTTCTGGTCTGATTTGACTTTTTAAAATGGACCGATGGATCTTCTCTGCTTTTCTCTTCAGTCTGCCGTGGGTCACGACTACCAGAGCAAGCTGTCCAAGCACTGCTCCCAGACGGACACCGCCAAGGGGTTCGGAGGGAAGTTTGGAGTTCAGGCCGACCGGGTGGACAAGGTGCTTCTTCCTGCTGCTCCTCGGTTACATCTGTGATCTAAATTTGCAGTAGAGCTTCTAAACCTTAGAGTCATCAGAGAGGGAGCAGGTCAAAGTTCACATTAGAGCTGAAACAATCAATTATTGAAATAATCAACTGATTTAGCCATTTATTAATCGTTAACTGGAGTATAGAGATTGTAAAAAATGCCTTTAGCTGACAGAGTGACTCACTTAGAGCAGGAATTACACCAAGTTTGCAAAAATATATAAACATTTTGCATTGTTTATCTGTATATATTTTTTTATATAAACAATGCAAATGATCAAACATCTTTATAAATCTGCTAGAAAATGGGTTTTGAATCCTTTAGTCTTCGATTGGATCGTCTCCATGGAGACTAAACTCTGCTACAATCACGGTTCTCTCTTTCCTTTCCAGTCGGCTGTCGGCTTCGAGTACGCTGGGAAGACGGAGAAACACGCCTCGCAGAAAGGTTTGTTCGAACAAGTCGTCTGATTTCCTCACAGAAATTCCAGGAATGGAGATCAGCTCAGCTGAAGGAGAAACGCTCTGTGAAGGACAGAATGTGTTTTACATCCTGGAGTTAAAATGAACTGTGATGATGTAGCTTCACCTTGACCTCTGACCCTCTCTGCTCTGCAGACTACACCACCGGGTTCGGGGGCCGGTACGGCGTGCAGGCGGACCGCGTGGACCAGAGCGCCGTGGGGTTCGACTACCAGGGCAAAACGGAGAAACACGAGTCGCAGAAAGGTGTGTGCTCCGCCACAGGGACAACTAGCAGACATACGGGGAAATGTAGTGGCATCCCTCTGGTTAGGAGCCTTATAGTGATGAGCTGGGCAGAGAAATTATGCCATGATCATCAGTTGATCCCAGTCCCACAGCATGATGCTGCCACCATGTTCTGCTGCTACGATATTGATTTCATTTGTCACAAACCAGGAAGTGAAATAAGAATCTCTGAGCGAAGCAGCATCCTCAGTTTGCTACACAGCAAACGACTTGAAGCAAACAGTTCCATCATTAGTCACTTCTCCAACAAACCTGAACCAAGGTGCTGAATCTCTCCTCAGCAGCTGTTGTTCACATCTGGAGCTGAGCCGTCACTGATTCACAAGCATCTGGAAGTTTCAGGAAGTTCTAACAGTTTGGATGTCAGCTTGTATTTCTGTATGTTTGTCTGCAGATTACGCAAAAGGCTTTGGAGGAAAGTTTGGTGTGGAGACGGACAAGGTGGACAAGAGCGCCGTGGGCTTCGAGTACCAGGGCAAAACGGAGCGGCACGAGTCGCAGAAAGGTCTGTAGAGCTTAAACCGGAAGCGGCTCGTTCCAATGGGGTAGCCATGGATTGAAGTGGTTTTTATCCAACAGAAGGTTTTGAACTTTTCTGGGTTTTTCCTGGTTTGGTGGAATCTGCTCCTTCAGGCTGGGTTGGATAAAATGTTGACATTGGTACCGAACAGAAACTGACACGTTTAAAGATTCCAGGCTGTGGATTTGTCTGCAGGGCCTGACGGAGCCACACCCTCATTTCTGCCCAGACTCGTCTGCACTGCGTGTTTTTCAACCTGCAGCTTCTTGCACAACATGCCTTTCTGAGCGGCTGCAGAACCGCCAACAGCTGGAGATAAGAGGCGGTTTGCATGAGCGATAAATGGGTCACAGGTTCTGATAACAGAACTGGTTTTGTGAGCCATGCTGCAGACAGCAGAACTGCTCATGATGTTTAATTTGGGTCACTGTTACAGGTTCTGATGGGCAGAACCCTGGCTGACCCACTTGCATTAGCAACAGGTTGACTGTTGGTCATATTCATTTAGCTTTAGTTATCGTCCGCCTGCTGGTTATGTGGTCAAATGTCTCTGAGATCCTAAACGAGCTTCTTCTGACGGATCTTTGGTTTTAGATTTCCAGGGACAAACCTTTGATCCAAACCAGCATCCCAGCAGTTCTGGTCCCTAAACAATCCTAACTGGTTTCAGTGTCAACCATTGATGCTTTTCTCTTCTGATCATTGAACGTAGAACTGGTTCTGATCGGATCCAGACTGAATTCTGGCTTCACTCTCCTAAAGAAGGAGAGCTGATAAAATCAGCTTGGAACCAGGAACTGCAGCTGTTGGCAGCTCGCTGTAAGACATGGAATATATATAAATATTCCTGCTTTTTTAAATAAATTTTTTTATTTTAAGGCATTTCAGCTTTTAGGTATAATTTTGACCCTTTTTAGGTGGAAGAAAATCACTGGTTGTAAAATTATTAGACCCTGTAAAACAGTTTGGATCTAAATAAAGACAATTTTTTTAAATTATTTTTCGGGTTCGGGTTGCTGTCCTGCAGGTTTTAGAGGTTTCGCTGCTTTAGCTCAGCTGATTCTGATGATTGAAGTTCAGCAAAAGCCTCTCAAAAAAAAAAGTTTTGAACTGTAGATTTACAGTCATTTACAGCGCTGTTTCCAGGCAAAAGTTCTTTGTTTTACACGTGTAAACAAAATGACAAATAAAATCGGTCTAAATTCAAAGTCTAAATATTAATCAACTATTGATGTAAATCAGCTGTGATGGAGGAAGGAAACCTCTAAAACCTGCAGGACAGCGGCCCTCCAGGACCGACTTTGGGAATGACAGATGTAACCTTCTCAGTAAAACAGTTAAACTAAATCAGCTGTAGGGCTGCTCATCAGCTCCACTAAGAACAGCTCTGATTATTGTGGAGATCTAGTAGCGGTGGAACGGTTCACAAAATCCACGGTTCGGTTCACGGTTTCGTGGTCACGGTGTTCGGTTCGGTATATGTTGATTGATACTAGGGCTGCAACAACGAATCGATAAAATCGATAAAAATCTACTTTTAAAAGCGTTGGCAACGAATTTCATCATCGATTAGTTGTGTCGCGCAATTAATGCGTCATCCGCCGCCGTCGTCATTGCCGTGGGGCGCCTCCCCCATCCCAACCCTGTTCTCCCGCGGTGCTCCCGCAGGAGTCCCTCTCAGCTCTGCAGTCAGAGGATGTTTACCCTCAGCGTCCAGACTGCAAATGAAGCGCGCATGCGCGCTT